GCGGATTGCTACAAGTTCTTCAAACACCTATGGAATGATAGGTTTATTTTTGGTGAGTGTAAAACACGTAAATACACCAGTTTGATTGTCGTAACATTGTTCTTTCAATGTGCTGTTTTTTTTGTTTTTTTTTACGTTTCATTGAACTTCGTCGATATAACTTACTTCTCAAAAGTACTAGAAATTCTGACTTCAAAATTTTCTAGGCTACTTCCACAAACTTACTTGAGCTTAACGTCATGCGCCCTCTAGCTAAAAAAATACAACATGAAAAATATAGTTACAACAATCATTTGCTGTTTCAAATGCTCACATGCTTCTTATTTAATATCAGTGATAATATCAGATGTTTCTTGGAGTTAAATCCAGAAGGTGGTTTCAAAGTAAAAGCGCACAACAACAACAAAAAAAGCAAAAGTTGTGCAACCCAAAATTTTGACATTAGTCTGGCAAACATCCAAGTTTTGAGCGGATGGATGGGACACTTTTACAATTCAAATATTTTGAGCTTCAATATAAAATAAAGTTGTTAAATTTATATCTGTATTCTTGTTTGTTGTATTTTGCACGAATTATATTTGTTAACGTATACATTAATAAATTGTTTGTGTAGTTCTTACGTGTATTCAAGAACATCGCGCATTTTTTACTTTATAAAAAAACTATTTTCTACAAGAAATACAAAACAAAATAGTACCATAAAGCATTTGGGCAAATTTTCTATTTAAGGTATTACATAAAAATACACTAAATATCTTGAGCGTACAAAATTAAAGACTGTTGACAAGTAATATATTCCTCTATAAATTAACATTTGGCTTCGTTGTATAATTGATAGGAATAATAAGTGCATATATATATATATATATAAACTACCGTAACAAGTGGATACAGATCACAGGTAAACTACCGTTACTTATACAGTAAAAGCAATAACAATACTGTTACGTCTTCCGTTTTTTTTTTAATTAACTGATTTTCCGTAACTTCGTACCGACGAAACTTACGCGACACAAGCCTTTACTTAATAAAACTGGTTTATTCTTTCCGAATATAACTTAACCGATACACTCAACAA